TTCAGTACTACAGCAGGCTTCCTTGGAAACAAAAAAAATTGTATCACTAACTAGGGCCTGGAAGTTCCTCTTCAGCTCTAAGGGGATCCTAAACTTTTTGGCTTGATATCATGGGAGTCGCTATATGGACCCGCTCTCTGGAGATGAAGAAGCGCTGGCAATGTGAGCATGTGAGCGCATAGAACACTGACACTGAAGCAGCGCTCTATTCGCGAATACAACAGCTTGAGACAGACCTATCCAAATATAGGGTTTTCATGATGAAAAAAAATGAGAGAAAAGGTCGTAAACCTTCAAAAGTCATCATCTCCTTCTCCAATCAAGTTGGTACTTTATACGATAGTTGTAGGGTAATATGTGGGGGCTTCTCGCCGTATCGGTGTGGTCCCCCTCCGACCATTGTTCGAAGATCAATAGTAGATGCGTGGCGATCCTTCTAAAAGATCCGGGAAAGGTAACCTCTAAACAAGAGCAATTTTTATGCATGACAAAAAGCAAAAACTCCTAATTAATGTTTTATAATGTTTCTAGAGTTACTAAATATCAAATGATGTACACATCTCTTGGTCGCGATACTAGTGATACATAGATCCCTAGCTTTCTTATATTCACACTTAATATTGTTTAAGGTTAAATTAAAGATTATCTCCATGCTAATGATACTTAGATCCTTCTCTAATCATTTCCAACAGTGACATGACTTGGCTGTAGGCCGTACAGATAGTCAAAAAGTACTGCTCTGTACGTAGTAGACATTCTATACAGACACGCACAAAAAGAGTTGGGAATGTTTTTTCAAACTTTGACAAGCCAAAACAGCAGCAGTCACAGAACAACCCATCATTTGCTTTGTGTGGGCTTTTTTTTTTTTTATGCGTAGGGTGCTGTTGTCTGTAGCAAAGGAGCTATAGTTAGCAGCGTGATAACAAAGGGTAGGAAAAATGAGGCATATGCTCATCATTGCCATTTCCGCCTTTAGGGAGAATCCTTACTTAATTACCAAACTTTAGCATGAGTGACAAAGAATTGGGTGGGATTTTGTGGACCGTGCAAAACGTGGATCACATATACGTGCAACTAGCCATATAGGATTGGGTGGATCACATAGACATGCAACTAGCCATAAAGTATAAAAAATTTAAGAGAAAACCATGAATCCTTCTAAATACACATAACGACAATTGTATAAGTACTCATCATGTATTCCGCAGGTGACATTTGAACAACTTTTCATGCCTTTTATATATATTTTTATACTAACATTTTTTCCTTCGCTATTTTCAAGCTTAGTTTAGACTTTTATTATTCAAACGATTGTAGTCCTTAGCCACAGTTATCAACGGTGCAGGCTTTGCTTTTAAAAAAGGTAATTCTAAGTTTTTCTAACAGAAAATGTTTATGATAGTCTTAATTACACACAACGGTTCAAACCTCATGGTAATTATTTTGCAAAATATTTCCTATTATTTTAATATACAAATATATTCCAAATGAGATGACATTCAGAGCTTCATATATATGTTGTCCCATGCTAGCCGGGCCATTCTGGCGGTTCTCGTCCTATGCGTCACACAAAATCTGAACTAGATAAAATGTGAATAATTCATGCCAGCCTAATATCAGGCTTTGCTTGAGAATTAAGGGACAATGAGTATTGTCTTTATAATGATTCACTTTTTTATCAATCACCTTTTACCTTAGATGACAATAATTTGGATATAGGGATGTGTTATTATTCCCTTTCTTTTTGGTAGGGACTGATGTTTATCCTCCTTTAGCTTTGCACTTTGCAAACTTTTCAGCTAATTTACATGGATTCAGAACTATATTGTGCTTAAATGTACAAATTATCTCCATCAATTATTTTTTATTGTGTTTACATCAGAAGTTAAACCTAGCAAAAAGTTCCAAGGCTGGGAGAGTCCACGTCCAATTAAGGAGTGGCACTAGAGGCACACCATTGGACACAATCCCAACCACACCCCCTCATCTGCTACAGTGCAGGGGGCCCCACATGGGATTTTAAAAAAAAATCCCATGTGAGGCCCCCTGCACTGTAGCAGATGAGGGGGTGTGGTTAGGATTGTGTCCAAGGGTGTGCCTCTAGTGTTTCTTATTCGAAAAACATCGAGGTACAAATGTTCCTTAATTCTAAATAGCAACCTTAAATTCTCTGTGATCAGCAATGCAAAAAAATAGACACATTCAGACGTATAAACATAGCAAATTCTGCATATAATTTCAGATCTTAATTATCTGCAGAGGACGCGATCCTGTTTTGTCAAACAAGCTAAAATCTGAGAGCTCGGTAACCAGGGGCGGACCCATGCCTGTTCAAACTGGTTCAGTTGAACCACCTCATATTTATAAGTTTTCTATATATATTATACATATCTGTTAGTAAACATAAGTGACTTATAGCCCAGCTGTACTAGTGTTGCTATGTTCTAAGAGGTCACAGGTTCGAAACTCCCAAAGCTTTCTTAGTTTGCTATTACCAACCAAGTTCTCTACTTTATTTTCTTTCTTTTTTTACCTCCACCTTATTTTTTGCTTCTTTTTCTTTCAATGTATCCATTTATGAAGATAAGCCAAATAATTGTTTTTATATATCTACTTTTCTCCTAGTTTCTTTATTTTTGCTTCTCTAAAAATAGTTTTTTGCTTTCTTACTATTTTTTTTTTTACGTCTCCAATAGTAGTACTTGAAAAAATAAAATTTATGAATAAAAGTAACTCAGCCAAAGGCCCATAGGAAGAGCAAGTCCGTTAAAGCAGGTACCAAGAGGCTACAGCGTTTGAGAATAACTAGTCTAGAACCACAACAATGCATCAAATTTCTGACAATCAAACACCAAACGTATAGAAGGTAGTAAATTAAAAAAATAGTACTCAAATAAACTATCAAAAGCACAAGTAAGAAAACTTCGACACTCAAGCCTTTCAACAAGCTCAGCGATATCGGCGAAGGGACTTCGCCTGGTTCCTCTTCCAAGTTGCCCTTCTAGATGGCCTGTTCTTATGGTAAAGATGACCTTTTCCTCTAAGACCTCTATACTCCTTGCCAGCAGAAGTAAGCCCACGGAGCTCGCGGTGCTTGTGCACACCCTTGCATATCCAGTTGATCCCTGGCTTGTTGCGGATAGCGTTGTGAGCAGCATCCACAAGGATGACCTCAAAGTATTTGTAGGTTGAGTCCTACAACATATGAAGACGATATAGAGACAATTCAGACATACATGTAGAGAATAGAAACTATACTGGGAGTAAGGAGATCACAACATCCGTCGAACACAGATATTAAAGTTGATTGCACTAGTACAATATTCTGAATGCAGTGGTACCCTAGGTTTACTTAGAATTGACAATGGGACATGTCACGATGTCCTTCCTCGTATGATTTTATATAAGAGACCTATACATGCAGGATGCTTTCTCCTCATTCAGATTTTTTAACCTCGTTAATCCAGTAAGAGTTGAGGACTTTTCAGGCCTCCAAGTTTTAGCCCAGCCCTCTCCTCGGCAACCGACCTCTTATTTCTTTGGAACTTGAGTTGAGTGATACCTTGGTTCTTTGGCTTACTATACACAGTTCCCTTGGGAACTGGCCTCTTTCGACCTCCACGTCTGACCTTGACACGATAAATCACATAGCCCTGAAAGACGAGCAAGGAAAGAAAGGTCGTTATTCACCTTGCAGGAATGTGACATTAAAACTAGCAGTATGTTAATGATCAAGAAAAGGTAGGGCATAGCTGAAAGCATATCTAGACAGAAAACATGGACCTGGATATCTTTCTTATATAACCTTCGTTTCTGTAAACATTTAAGTCCAGATTCAACTCAATCAGCAGATGAACTTACTCCTTATAGGTTAGTTTACTTAGGGCTACAATATAACATATTTGGATTAATTACATTCCGGTACCTTGTAGTATAATGTAATTACACGGGCTACAATTTATTAACACCGTTTGTTTTTTTAGTAACATGACAACTAACACAATATGAGAATTCCTAAAATACCCTTTTTACACTCTGGTACCTTGTGGTATAATGTAAGTCCACGATCCGGGGTCTAAGTATCTACAAAGGTAGCCCTAATTAGTCCCTGAAATCATTTTATTAAGAAATTAATCCCTCAAATCTTCAATTATTCCGTCAAAATCTTTATAGTTCCTCATTAGTCCCTCAAATCATTTTATATAAAAGGGTTATTTAGTACTGGTCTCGCAAATCTTCAATAATTCCATATTAGCCCCTCAATTCTTAAGCAATTTTAAAGACTTGAGGAACTAATATGGGGTTACCAAAGATTTGAGGGACTGATTTCTAAAAACCCTTTCATAAAAGGATTTGTTCTAATAGGGTTAGTTGCATATATACCCCTTAAATCATGGGTATTTGCAAAATACCCCCCAAATTGTGGTATTTGCAAAGCACCCCTCGAATCACCAACCTTGGGAAAATATCCCTAAAATCAACAAATCAACAACTTGGTGCTAAAGATTTGACTATTTTGTTGATAATTTTTACATTGCGATTACAAATTAGCTTACCAAAGTTGATGATTAATTGCTTTGGGGTAATTTTTTCCAAAATTGACGATTTGAGGGGTGGTTTTGCAAATATTGAGATTTGGAGGGTATTTTTGCAAATATCCATGATTTGAGTGGTATATATCCCTTCTTAATAATTCGTTCAGCTTGTTTCAATCACTGAACTTTGTATGGTCCCCTAGATTCCACTTAAGTAACTTAGATTAAATCCAGCCAAATGGTGAGCAAATTGTATTCATATGAAACAGTATTTTTGTCTTTTTCATATGCAAAGTTAAGCTTCATTAGCACTTTCACACTGGGCATCTAACTCAGGGTTACCCTTGTGGATACCCAAACCTCAGCGTCACCCATATAGTTAAATCATACTATAAGGTACCATAATGTAATTAATCCTGACATATTCTGGTTACATGTACATGTAAAAGCAATTCACCAAACCACCTGGTGGATCGGCTTCTCAATAGGCCAAAGATAAACTAAGGCTCTCATGTAGCACGGACATGGATCCGACACGGCCATCCGACACGCCGACACGAGGCAAATCCTAAAAAATACATAGGATACGTGTGTTCGACACGTGTATCCGACACGGACACGACACGACACGGCTTCATGTTATGCATACATAGGATACGTGTGTTCGACACGTGTATCCGACACGGACACGACACGACACGGCTTCATGTTATGCCTGTCCGTGCTTCATAGGCCTCTCACTATCTGTCTCTACATTTGACTGGTATATCTTGACTGACACATGTAAATTAGAAGGATTTTTTTCCCACTTTCGCACCCAATAGTTCTTCTACCATTAGCACTACTTTTCCATCCATTAGATAGTCACTGGAATGTACCTTTCCATATGAGTTTTACACATGATAAACTTTTTTTTTTTTGAATAATAGCTTCTCTAAAGGTACAAAAAAAAGCCTCATTATTCATGTCATCGTGAATTTAAGGGATTGGAATTGGAAGAGAAATCAAGGGAGAGAAAGAAGGAATTTAATTATATGAAGGAAAATTGGGCCAGTGGAGACAAGTTAGAAAGAATGGTTCTTACAATTATTGAGGTTGGATTAAGGGATAGGGATGAGATTCATAGAAAGTTGGAAACGACCAGATTGCAAACCTTTAACGATTATACAAACTGAATTTTAAGAAAAATAATGAACCAAGTCTTCGTCAAACATGCAATTGTACCACTTCCACTCAATTTGGGGAAAAAAAAGATGCGATGTTTACTTTCAATTCAATGTGCTCAAAACCAATCCCTAACAGTTCAAGCCCTAGAATCATCCAGTTCTTCTCCACCTATGGTAATTGTCATCTATCTTATCAGTTTTGGTGCTTTGCTTGTCAACACGATTGGCTTCTAAAGTTTCACCAAGGCTCAGACCAATTTTGAATTTTCATTCTTTTGTCCAAACTCAGTAAAAAAAACCGAGATTTTACGAGGGAATATTAAATATGCTATGTTTTTCCTTGGGAAATTTCCTTCATTATAATTATTGTAGTTCTCTTCATGAGAATTTTCCTTTCTTACAATGTTCTATATATGGCCTAATATTTGCATACACAATGATTAATTACTAAGAGAAATCTTTTTCCATTTTTGATAGGCGAAAGATCACCTAATTTAATTTGTTCGCTTGTAGGCTGCCTCCAATTGTCCGGCCAAGTGCCTCGACTGATTTTAGAAACAATGTCCTATCCATAACAATATATCATAAGTGGGTATTTTCATTCTAGGCATGTAATTGCATTAAACATGTGTTCACTATCAAAATAGATTCGCTAAACTGGTACAAAGTATACCAAACAAATCCAACTATATACCACCCAACACTGTACTTCATGAGTAGATATTTGCATTGTCAACATTTGTTGGCAATCATAAGTCAGGAATGATCCACAGATAAATAATCTAAGATATAGAACTGTCTCATACGCCAAAAGACTAAATAAACTATTGATATCAAATGAAAAAGAATTATACTCCTAGTAGATGTAATCAAGAATTATATTACATAAGTTACTAGTCATATAATGATATCAACTCAAATTATGTAATTGCATCATATACTTCAATAACTTATTCTTAAAAAGCACAAACACTTACCTTATGAAGTCACGCCATGTCATTCTTAATATTAGCTTCAGTGTTCATGCTTAGCTTTATTCTAGTGAAAATCAACTGTTCCTTGAGAAAGTTATGTGCATATACTCTTCACAGCATTGACCCTTTTTCCTCTTTACGAGAGTTGAGAAAGCACAAGGGGAAAAAAACTCCTAGAAGTTAAGGAAGAAAGCTCCCTTAAAGGTAGAAATACCCCATAAGAAGAATCAAATCCACTACATCCTACGAGGGGAGACAGTGTTAAACCGCCAGAGTTAAGGTCATTTTGTAGAAGAAAAACGCTGTTCAGAAGCATTATATCGCAATGCCTCATATAGTGGAGAGCTAAGCAATGCACACAAGCCTATGCCAAAATTTCTTAAAAACAACCAACATTTTAAGATGATTGAATAAACTATCCATTTTCTTTTATCTGGATTAGATACCTTACTCACAAACTTTCTAGTATTTTCTTGCAACAGAACATTTAGATGATCACCAGAGAATAAATAGGCAAAAAAAAGCTGATCTTGAGTAAGACTATCTTAGAAGGGGATTTCTGATAGAAACACTAAGAAGGATAAATAAAAAGCTACCATGGACCACATCACCAACTCACCCCTAACCTTCAAGCCTAAGCCACATAATTACTATTTGAATTGAGTAAGACCGGTGCTTACTTGAGTCTCAACTTAACAATAATCATCTGCAAGTGGTACTGAATTTCTTCATTCACTGTTAACATCTCAGTTGAATGCGGCAAAATGACATTTTTTTCAGTCAATCCTCAGCTCAAATGCAATTACATACTTTGTGTGGTGCCAATTTTCTTGCAAGATATTGCTCAAAAAAAAATATGTGAACACTCCCTTCGTTTGAGCGGTGATAAAACTGATGTAACTTCTATCCATGCAATCAGAAAAATAAAATCTCTGAGAAAAAGTAAAATCCTGTCCCTTAGGGGGGGGTTATTGGTTGGGATATTTTAGGGGATAATGAGATAATTTTGGGGATTCTATTTCATAGTGTTATTCATTGGGACAATGGAACAAAGATAATACATTTTTGTGTTATTGGTTTTTTGGAACACTAGTGAGACAATTACACCACTTGGGGTAAAATTATCCCACTCATATACAAAAAATTTGTCTCAATAGTAAAAATTTACCTCATCCTTTATATTAGAACAATATTGTTCCACTTTGAAGGTAATTGGGATAATTTTAAAATACTTTTGTATTACTTAACTAATACATGCTAATTATATTATAAATATATGACATGATATATAAAATATAACATATATTAATAATATTATGTAATATATTATTATATAATATTAATTAGTAATTATAGTATAACGTATTTATTATAATATTATATAATATTATACATGTTGAAATTAATATAATATATTACACTAGTCAACATGATACCTTTTAACGTATAATTATTGATACATTATCATTTAATATATATAACTATATATAGTATATACATAGCGTATAGTATATATATATACTAATATATATATATGTATATATAGTTATAAATATATAAAATTTAATAAGGTATAATATTTTTAATAACATATATTAATAATATTATATTTAATAACAATTTAATAACATATATTAATATATATAATATTTTAATAACATATATTAATAGTATTATACTATTATGTAATATATTATTAATATTATAGTAATTATAGTATAACGTATTATTTTTTATTTGGATTGAATTGTGGATTATAATATTTGTATGATTAACATATGTAATTATTATTGATATTTATTCAGGTAATATTGTATAGGGTATGATATTATTGATAAGCGAATATTTATTTTATTTTTATGTATAGTAGTATGTGCATGTTTATTTTTCTATAATTTTGAGTATGATTATTTTTATTATCTTTTTAATATGTGTTAAGAATATTATGATATAAAAATATTACATTGAATAAAGTAAAATATTATAATATTTTATAAAGTACATTATATCCTATGATACTATATTATAATATATTAAATTAAATAATATATTATTAAAGTATTATATTATATATATTATTCATATATTATATCAATTATTATATAATGTAATATACTAATCTAATGTTAATTAGTAATTATTGTATAACATATTATATTTTTGTATAAATAAAATAATATATTATATTAAATATTATATTAAATATATTGATATTATATTAAATTAATTGTTATATATAGTATAGCATGCTAATATAATATAATAAGTAATAATAGTAATTTGTAAGTATAGTATAATATATTATATTTAATATAAAGTAAAATAATATTTATATTATAATACTATACTAAATAATATACTAAACCAATTGGATAAGTTAATTTAGAAGTAATTAATAGATAAAATTATATTTTAATAAGCTATCACATCATCAATTATCTCACATGCATTGTCAAATCAAAGGCACAAATTATCCAATTATCCCACTTTATCCCACTTTACCCCACTCAAAATATCCCAAAGGGGTAAAATTGTTCTATTGGAACAATTTTCCCACTTGGCCCCTATTTGTCCCAACCAATAGCCCCCCTGAGTGATCCCAATATAAAGGCATCTGGATGAAAGAAATAATCATTTAAAATGGAGGAAAATGGAAAGATGCAAAAGCAAACAACTGATGTTTAATCAAAATGAATCCCGGCTCAAAAACATCGAAATATGTGCACCTAATAGCTATTCAAGCAACACCACTCCATATACATACACCAATTTTCAATTACACAATGTTGAAATTCACGAACCAGATATTCGAAAAAAAAAATTCCTAGCTATCTTCTTCCAGTTACACAATCCTGAAATTCACGAACCAGATATTCGGAAAAAAGCCCTATCTATCTTCTTCCAATTCTTAAAGCTGTCGCAAGCTTGCATGCATCTACCTAAGCTTGGCCCCAGTTGAAAATGTTATTTGTCCGATACCTTCTTCCAGCAAGACAATACTATATTTCAATATATTTTGGGTATTTCACAATGAATTTTGAGGGGTTTAGTAGGA